CTTTGTACTGTGTGCCTTCTCTTGGCTTATTTTAAATAGCTTGTCCTCAAAACATGCAGGGAACCAGTGGTGATAGGCCTTGAGATTGCTTTCTATAAAAATCAGTTGAAGGATCTGGGGGTGTTTAGTCTAGAGAAGATGAGGGAGGAGGTGAGGTGGGTGATGACAGCCGCCTTCAAGTATTTGAAGGCCTGTTCTGTAGAAGAGAAGATACTGGACCTGATTTCGTTGGCCACAGCAGGTTGTAAAGAGGCATATTTGGGCTTCATGTCCCAAAAAGTTTCCCCCAAATTAGAACAGTCACAAGGAGTAGGTGTTCTCAGGAGGGAATCTTTTGGGTAGAATCACTGAAGGATGCTTTCTTTTGTCTGAAAGGCTCTTGGTTAGAATGATCTTGGATTGACTTACTCTAGGCATCTCCCGTCAGTCCCTGAGACAGGGAAATGAACAGAGGGACCATGTGTGTTGGAAATGGACAAGTCAGCCACAAGTCAGCAAGCATTTATTAAGCACCTGCTGTATGCCAGGCACCGTACTAAGCAATGGGGATCAAAGAAAGACAGAAATAGTTCCTTTCCTCCAGGAGCTGTCAAGTCTAGCGGAGACAATCTGCAAACAACACGTTCAAACGAGAAAGACAGAAGGACTCTTAGCAGATGTCTGAGGAAAGTCTCAGGGTCTCAGCCTCAAAGTCTCAGGACATATTGTCTTCTAGTTTGAAAGGCTTATGGAAGAGGGATTGGACTTGTATCAGTACTTTCTATTTGATTTATTATCAAGTCAAATTATTTGTAAAGCGCTTAGCATCATAAGTGACACCTAGTAGGCACTTAATGAATGCTTGCTTCCGTCCCACCAACACAGTGGCTGGCACATAGTAGGCACTCAATGAATCCCTTCTCCCATCCTACCTCCTTTCACACACCTCTCCCTGCCCCCGAATTAGCAGCAGTGGGTAGAAGTTGAAAAGAGGCAAATGGAAGTTCCTTCATGGTGACATTGAGCCATTCGTGACTGTTCTTTGGGTTTGGCCATTTAAACCAGTTCTGGATTCACCCAAGCATGAGAATTGTCCATAGGCAGAGTGGGCAGCCATGAGAGGTAGTGAGTTCCCCATCACTGGAGGTCTCGAAGCCTGGACAACCACTTGTTGGGTATGTTACAGAGTGAATTCTTGTTCACGTAGGATTTTGGCTGTTGGGTTTCCCACATCCCTTCCCACCCTTGAGATTCAGCAAGGTGGCCCTAGGGAAACATAGAGAGTTTTTAACCTTCTCCACAATACTACACCTGGCTTGTTCAGTCATGTGCTGTGGGTGGTGAAGCCTGAGACAAGCCACACTTTGGCCTCACCTTGCTTTGTTAAGCCTGGGGGCATTGGAAGGGGTCAGAGATACCTGGCCACCCCGTGACTGCAGACTCCAGGGAATCGTCCCATAAATGTGGATTCATTCCTCATGCTAAATTCTTGTTGTGACGCCTTAATACATGAACTCTTGGCAAGGGCTCAAATCTCTGGGGAGCAAAAAGAGTCCTGTTCTCGTGATCTTTGCCCCCATTGAATGGCCCAGAATGAATGGCATCCAGCGTTTATAGAGCACTTGAGATTTTGGGGGGAAAAAGCGCCCACTTTCCTTTCATCAGAGCTAGAGGGAGCCTTGAAGGTCCATCCAGACCCCTTGTTTGACAGATGAGCAAACTGGGACCCAGTAGCTTGGTTAAGGTCACTCAGTCCAGACCAACAAACATTTATTAAATGTGAAAGGCATTGGGGATACACCGATGAAACAGACAATCCTTGCCTTGCTTAACTCTGCATGTATAACTTTGGCACTTAATAAGTGCTTGCTGACTGTATTGTATTTTAGACTGTAAATTCAAGCAGGCAAGACTTGTCTTTTGCCTTCTTGGTATCCCTAGTGCCTGGCACACAGTAGGCATTTAATAAATGCTTGTTGATTGATAGACCATTTATCTCCTTTGTTGTACAGGAAATTTTTTCTTGGATGAGGTTGCCTTCGAGGTACTCACAACTGAAATTCTGTGATTGCCCAATCGGTTTTAGTCCTCAAGACCCTGGGTATAAAGGGAGTGCTTCTAATCCATGCTAAAGTCAAGATGTCATTGGTCTTCTTCAAGAACAAAGGACCCTGGGGCAGCTAGGTGGTGCAGTGGATAGAGCACCGGCCCTGGAGTCAGGAGGACCTGAGTTCAAATTCGGCCTCAGACCAAACACCTGCCACTTCCTAGCTGTGTGACCCTGGGCAAGTCACTTAACCCCCCTCCCCAAAAAAAAGAACAAAGGACCCTGATGTAGAGGTAGAAGGAGCCTCAGGACAGCCACCATAATAACACCAGCTAATGTCTGTATGGTGCTTACTATGTGCCGGGCACCATGCAAAGCCCTATACAGTTAACATCTCATTGGAGCCTCCCAACGACCCTGGGAGGTAGGTGCCATTGTTAGCCCCATTTTACAGGTAGAGACTGAGGCAGACAGAGGTTAAATGACTTGCCCAGGGTCACACACACACACACACACACACACACACACCCTCCTTCTGAATCTAAAACCAAGTGTTCTTTCCCCTGAATCATAGTTCCCTTGAGGTCATACAGGTACAAGGTAGGATTTGAACCCAGGTTTTCTGACCCCCAGTCCAGCATGACTTCCCAAGCTCCTTTCTGCCCTTAATGCAGGCAGTTGTGGAGTCATTCAGGCAGGCTATCTCTGTTCTTCCCCAAATGTGCTCTTGTTCTCTGGTCCCTCCCAGCCCTGGCTACCTCACTGGTTGGAAAGGAAACATCTGTGGATTTGGCTACTGGGAGGATTCGGGACAGGGTGTTCCTTGATGGGAGAGGCAGCCCACCCCACGTTAGCTAGAGCTAGCTTCAGGAACACCAGCTGGGTGTCCCCACCCTGCCCCCCCCCAAACAACAACACACCCCACGGAGATTGGCAGAAATCCTTTGGGGTGACCGTGTTCATACACACACGCCTGTGCTGAGATGGAAATCAGAGAACAGTGTCTGCGCGTCAGTGACCCAGAGCAGGCTGACCCAGCGGGCGCTAGGAGCCGAGCCAGGCCCTGCTAGAACACGTTGTCTGAGGTCCTCAGGGCTTCTGTGCTGGCCTCAGGCCTCCTGGGCTGGACGGACTCCTGGCGATCGTCCACGACTCCTGGGGAAAGAGGGAGGTGGCAACAGACTGTAAGCCCTCTGAGGATAGGAAATGAGTCATTTCTCTCCTCGTATCCCTGGCACCTAACAGTGCGTGACACAAACACAGTTGGTGTTTAATAACTGATTGATTGAGGTGCCCTGAAAGGGATGGTCAGATCTGGAGTTGAGATTTCATTTGGTTTGACCAATTAGACATAGAATCACAGATCCTGAGAAGGGACAGATCTCAGTTGGCATCTGTATCCACCCTGGCCCCCCAAAAATAATCCCTTCTGCAGTGTCCCCAACAAGGGGATAGCGCTTAGCACAATGCCAGGCCCAGAGCAGGCACTTAATAAGTGGGATTGATTGGTTATCATGGTCCTCCAGCCTCTGGCGACCCCCTTCCTCCCAGTGTGGCCCCTTCTAGTCTTAGGAGGTGTTTCTAAGCATTAATATCAAGCCTCAGTGGGTCTCTTTGCAGCATCCCCCCATTGTTCCTATTTGGATCCCCCACCTTCCAGCATGGTGGCTCCATGGCCTCTCCAGGGCATACGTCCCTGTTTGTTTATCGCAGTAGACCTTGAGAAAAGGGCTCAGAGAATCAGTGGGTGTGCCCAGAGGGAAGGTGGAGGCCAATACTTGGGACCCTTCCACGGGATGCTCCCATCCCCCCTTGTACCTTCTCTGGTGCTTGTGATAAGACTACTAGTGCTTTAAGGTTTGCAAAATGACTTCTGATGTATTGTTGGCATCTCTGTTTTATGGATGAGGCATCTGAGGCAGACACAGGTGAGATGACTTGCCCAGGGTCACACAGCAGTTGTGTCAGAAGTGGGATTTGAACTCAGGTTCTTCCTGATTCCAAGCCTTATGCTCTGTGGGCAGGTGGCACAGTGGATAGAGCCAGGCCTGAATTCGGGAAGACCTGAGTTCAAATCCCTCCTCAGACACTTACTGGTTGTGAGACCCTGGGCAAGTCACTTAACCTCTGTCTGCCTCAGTTTCTTCACCTGTAAAATGGGAGATAATAACAGCACCTACCTCTTAAGATTGTTGTGAGGATCCAAAGAGATAATATTTGTAAAGCTCTTAGTACACTGCCTGGCACACAATAGGCCCTTAATAAATGTTTATTCTCTCTATCCACTATGGCCTCTAGGTGCATCTCCTTTTTATTCAAGGTAGTTGGGTTACAAGAGGGAAAGGAACCTCAGGGTTCATCCTAACCTACCTCCTCTTCTCATTCAGAAAAGTTGTGTTCTGAGATAGAATCTCATAGTTAGAAGGGACCTCAAAGTTTATCGAGACCGGCAGTTCATAACCTGAGGTCCACACACCCCCTGAGACTTGGCCTGTGGATAGATCTCAAGAGAGAGCCTGAATTTGAGTAGAGAAAAATAACATCTTCCTTTCAATATAACTGGTTTCCTTTATAATCTTATGTATTTTAAAATATGCATCTGAAAAAGGGGTCCATAGACCTCACCTGACAGTCTATAGCACCTGGTGTCTGCCGACCTGCACTTGGAATTCCCTCTGCAGCGTCCGGCACCAGGGTGAGGGAGGGGCCTGGTGCCTCCCTGGCAGGGCAGCTCCTTCTACTCTGGCCGGCATCCTCCTCCAGCCTATTCTAGAGTCTGAATGCCAGTGTCCGCCAGAAGTACTTTTTAGGGAGCCAGTTTCTCTGTAGCTTAGCCTATCATAAGATGTCAACTCTTGGAATTGGAGAGCCAATCAGGAATGTGGGCATTACAATTATTGTGCAGTAACCAGATGTATGTATATATTCATATTCATGCTCTCTCTCTCTCTCTCTCTCCCCCCCTCCCCCACAGCTGAACCACTGCCTCTAATGGACCTCTGCCGTCGGTCCGTCCGCCTCGCCCTAGGGAAGGAGCGCCTGAGTGAGATTCATGCCCTGCCCCTGCCAGCATCCCTTAAGGGCTACCTACTCTACCAGTGATGCACCAGCTCAAAGCCTGCCGCCATGTGGGAGCAGGAATCAGGAAATCCAACTGTGCAAACCCACTGAGCCGCCACTGGGGTCCACAGCCCCCCTTTACCCTACCCACACCCTACCAACGTTCCCTCTTCCTTCATCTGGCTGTTCCAACCTCACGAGGCAAGATTTCCTCATCCTTTCTTGAATCCCAATCTTCCGCCAGATAAAGACAGACCCTAAAAGCAGGCTCATCTAGTCTTCCTCCCTTGGAAATGGCCTCTTGGAGTGTGGGCAGACGAGTGTCCTTTGTATATCTGGATTTTATTTTCCCTTCTTAAAAAAGAGAGACTTTGTTTCTACAGAAGTAATAAGGTGTGTCCTGGTCAGCTCCAGGGGTAGGAGTACGGAGCCCACAGCTTCTGCCCGAACAGGACAAGCCGTCGTCTCCAGAGGATTCCAGGGCTTGATGATGGCCAGTTGGGGAAAAGTAACCATACTGGCAGTAAGGAGGCCAGGAAGCATCGAGGGTGCTTGGAAATTGACCGATGACTTCCCTTGGGTGGCAAGCATAGAACCTCGTGGGTTACTTCTGCACAGGAAACGCCACCGTTAACAAAGCTGCCAATGCCAAAAACTCATTCTGGACACTTAAAAAAAATAAAGAAAGAAAAGAAAACGGGACCCTGGAAAAAGGCCGGAAAGCAACTAGCGTCATTCCCTAAGATGTTGTCTCACCCTGTACTCTGTATTTATTCTTTCACCAACAAAAATCAATTTATTTATTCCACATAGAAAGAAAACATATCTCTTTCTGTCCAACGTGTGTCTTGTTGCTCTCCCATCTCCCCCCCTCCATGTGCTATATCACCTGCCCTTGGCCAAGCGGTGTAGGTATAGGTATGAGGGCTTCTTTGGTGGGTGGGTTTTGTTATCTTGGCCTGTAGCTCCAAGGGGAGGTTCGGGTTGGGCCAGAAGCTTGCCAGGACAGCTCCTTCCTCAGGCTACAGGTTTCACGTGCAATAGTGATGCCTTCAACGGTCCCCTGAAGCAGCTCTAACAGCCTGCCACCCTCCTCCTTCATTGCCTCTTACCTCTTGGCCAGACATCTTTGCCCAGGATAGTTAGACATGCTGTCGTGATGGGTTTTTTGTTTTTTTTTTTGTCCTCAGGTTGTTCAAATATCTCAGCTAGGCTGCCATCATCATCCTCCCCAGCTTTGGTAGTCTGAGAAAATGTACATTTTTGATACTTTGTCCATTGGGGAGGAGAGAGAGAGAGAGAGAGAGAGAGAGAGAGAGGAGAGGGAGGGGGGAGAGAGAGAGAATGAGAGAGAGAGAGAGAAAAAAGAGATATACAGGCAGTAGTTAGATTCTTTACCACCATCCCCCCCAAGCCAGAATGGAGAACCTGGAATATTGGTCCTGAGAGCAGACCCAACATCTAGGCAGGTCCCCAGTTCAAATGCAGCTCCCCTGGTCATTTCTTCCTGGGCTGAGGAAAAATGTGTCAAGAGCTGCCCCCTTCCTGGCAATTCCTCCAAGGTGCAGGCCGAGATGTGGCACCCCCCATCCCTACCCCTTTATTTTGCACATTTTGTTAATTTTGAAATCAGTTTTGGAATCCAACTTTTGGTTCAGTTCTGTACAGGTACAATAGATGACTTTATTTGTTTAAAATGTTTAATATATATATTTGTCTATGTAAGAGATGTTTTGAACAGCTGCTGTTGGATACCTTTTTTAAAAAAAAAAATTCTACTTGGAGAATATATTTTTAAAAAGCATAGAATTGGTGCCAAGCCCGCGTGGGGAGTCAAAATTGCCTCCCCCCAAACCGTTACTGTTTGTTGCTGTTATTTTTTTAAGGAAGAGAAGAACACACACACACACACACACACACACACAGTCTCTCTCACTCCCTTGTCAGATGATAGGTCTTTTGCTCATTTCTGTTACAGGGTGGGACACACACTCGAGAGAGAATTCACCGAGTAGACTCCATCGATGGATGCCTGGTCCCAGTTGTCTTCCACCGACGCTGGAAATGTTGCAATGTCACCGTCCCCCTGCCCCCCACCTCTCCTCTCCTTTCAGGTTCAGCCCCCTCCCCCTGTATTGCCATCCCAGTACATAATTGCTTTGTTTGGTTTTAAAACTCCTTTCTATTTTATGACTGTAGAAAATACTCAGTAACCTAATAATAAAACAAAGTTTATTAAATTTGAATTCACTCAGATAGTTTCTCTTTGGGTCTCGGGGCTGGGAGAGGAGGCTTGCGGTGACTTGACCGGAATCAGCCCTTGACCTTTGGGAGAATGGAGAGGTGAACCCTCGGACGATGAGAGGCAGGTAAAGGGAGGAGACTGCGAATCGGTCTCCTTGCCCCACTCCTGTCCTTTTGCTGCCAAAGTGATTTTCCTCTAACATCTGATCACATCATTCCCTTATTTTGAAAAGTCCTCTCTTGGGGCTTCTGTAGTGCCCCTAGGATGAGAGGTGACTTTCCGGGTTCTGCCTGGAAAGCCTCCCGCAGTATGGCTCCCACCCACCCAGCCAGAGTGCACGTGAACTTGGCCCACTATAGCCCGTCCAGCCCAAAGAGCTGTTATCACCTATCTCAGCCTGCCTTCTGTTCCTCCCCTTCCTGCACTCAGTGGTGATCGAGCCAGACAGGCTCAGCCCAGCTGGGCTGCTTGTACTTGCTGGGACATCATTTCTCCCCTCCAGCCTTCACACACCGCGGTTCTCTTACCCTGGCATGTTCACCCATCTTCCTGCCCAAAGCACAGCTTATGGGCCGCCTTCTACACAGGCCCTTTCCTGCTCCCCTGAGCTGCTTTGGTGCATCTGGGCCTTGTCAGGAAGACCTGAGTTCAAATGTATGATGATTTCACTAATGAGCTGTGTGACCTTGGGCAAGTCACTTAACCTCCGTCTGTTTCAGTTTCTCTGACTGTAAAATAGGATATACATACATGCTGAACAAATGGGAGGTGGAGACAGCTAGGTTGGCACAGCAGACAGAATACTAGACCTGGAGTCAGGAACATCTGAATTCAAATGCAGCCTCAGACATTGACTAGCTGTGTGACCCTGAACTAGTCACTTTTCTCTGCCTCAGTTTCCTCAACTGTAAAATGGGGATAATAACAGTACCTACTTCACAGGGTTGTGAGGATCAAATAAAGCTTTTATAAAGTGCTTAGCACAGTTCCTAGCACATAGTGGGCCTTTAACATTTCCTCCCTTCCCTTCCCTGAAATTAGTTAGCATCTCTTTTGTGTGTCCCTGTGTACATGTTCGATCCCTGCATAGACTATAAACTCCTTGAAATCCGCGACTCTTTTTTTTTTTTTATTTTTGCATCCCCAGTGCCCGGTACAGTGTCAGGCACATAGTAGGAGCTTAATAAACATTTGTTGAATTGATGTTGGCTGCTCCTGAGTGCAGAAGGGTCCACACCCCCAAAGGGTTTAGTCTTCAATGAGGTGGAGGGAGGAGGGCAGAGCTCTGCCTGTGAGGCCGAAAATTCAAATATTGCCTGTTCCAGACATTTCAGGGGAGGGAGTGGGGAAAAGGGTGGTCTCGAATTATTTTTAGGTTGGAGTTCATGTCTGGGTTGCCGTAGAACAGGAGCTCATTTTTAAAGGAGAAGGAAGGGAGGGGGTGGGGTGGGGGAGAGCAGGAGGTTGTGGGGGGTGCTGGCATAAAGGAAAATAAGACTTTTTGTTCAGCTGGGAGGCTTCTTGCAAAGCAGGTCTCTGTGTTTGAAAGGAGCAGTGTTCATAAAACCATCCGAGCCGACTTGGCACGTGTGGCTGGAATGAACACTGCCGAGCACCACCAGGCTGTCTCCTCCTCCTCCTCCGCTGCCCTGGTGCAGGTAGCGGCCCCTCGGCCTGGCCATAGATGGGAAACGTTCCCGTCTCTGGTCCATCTTGCTCGTGCACTCGGCCTGCCTTCCGCAGCTCACCCTTCCCTTCCTCTGTCTTCCTCGAGATGTGGAATGTGGCCTAGGCTGAACCATAAACTATGCTGGGGAGGGGGCTGAAGACAGAGTAATTAGGCCCCGCTCGGGCCCAGACACCCAAACATGGTTGGATTTGAGCTGCAGGGAATATTTGAAATAAATGACCTGCCGAGGGGCCGGAGTTGTGTTCTGTTTTATGGATGCCACCATGGTAACCAGGGAGGAAGTCATGAGATGGGGATTGGGCCGGAGAATCAACAAATGATGTCCTGCCTTAACCAGCCCCAATGAATCAGCTCACTCTCCCTTGCTGGGGCTTTCTCATGGACTCAGCTGCTTGGCAGGCCCGAGCCAAGCTGTCGGGCCTCGGAAACAGCCCCTCTCCTCAGCTTCTCCGCACACTCAGGACATTAGCATTTCCCTGCCTGGGACGGTTCTCAATGGACCGTTTTTTTTTTTTCTTTCAAAGGAGAGGAGAATTTAAACACGAAGCTGGAAATTTTCTTCCTTCTTTAGAGAGCGTGGCTGAGCCAGGTTCCTACTTGGCTTGATGCTTCCATTTTCTTGTGGCGAGGAAATATCCTTGGGGGCTTGGGGGTGGGGGTGGGGAGCATCCTTGGTGAAGGGCTGCTGGCTAGACCAGAGTTGGTGAGCGCTCGCCTTCCCCCATCTCTGGGCTTCTCCTGCCACATGGCTATGCCAGGAGGGAAGGAGGGCTGGATTCAGAACTCCAGGCCATGGGTCTGAATCATTGTTCTTACCGGGTGACCCTGGGCAAGTCACTGAACTTTACTGTTCACTTGGCCTGCACGCTCTGTTTTTGTTCAGTCACAACCGACTCTTTGTGACCCCATTTTGGGGTCTTCTTGGTAGAGACACTGGAGTGGTTTGCCATTTCCCAGCTCATTTTTATAGATGAGGAAACTGAGGCAAGCAGAATTAAGTGACTTTCCCAGGGTCACACTGCTAGCAAGGGTCTGAGGCTGGATTTGAACTCAGGCCTTCCTGACTCCAGGCCCAGTGCTCTATCCACTTACCACCTAGCTGCCCTGCACATAGTAGGTGCTTAATAAATGCTACTGTTTCCTCATCTATACAAGAGGGAGGTTGGATTAGGTGGTCTCTGGGGTCCCTACCAGCTGTAGAATGACGGAGATAGAGTGGGAAGTGTTAGATTGAGTCAGAGGCCCTGGATTCAAATCTTGCTTACTACCTGTATGACCTTGGGTAAGTGCCTGGACCTCAGTTTCTTCATCTGTAAAACAAACTTGGACTAGACACCCTTTGGGTTCTCTTTCAGCTCTAAATTTCTGAGTTTGAGAGCAGCTCACCTGGGATTTCTCCCAACTCCTGCCCTGTTAGCTCTTTCAGGAGGAGATTTTGAAATCATGCCCCAAGTACAAGTTCTAATAAGTACAAAAATGGGATGTCAGGTGTTCCCTTCAATGGTGCTGATCTCCACCCATCCATGGTGGCCTGTCCACAACAGGAAGCCAATGAGCATTTATTAAGTGCTTACTGTGTGCCAGGCACTACTTATCCTGAGGTGCCCTTAAATCACTAAGGCCAGGGACGACCCAGCATACACCAGGGAAGACTGGTTTTCTGTGCCCATCCCACCCAGCCACTCAGATGGTGCCACGTACCCAAAGTGCCAGAGATAACCAGGGCCCCTGGAGGCAGAGGGCTTGGTGGCATAGTCACACACAGCAAGATGGCACAGCGGGTAGAGCTAGGAAGACCTAGCTGTGTGACCCTGGGCAAGTCACTTAACCTCTGATTGCCTCAGTTTCCTGAACTGTAAAATGGAGATGATAATAAACAGCACATGCCTCCCAAGGTTGGGTGAGGACAAGTGACGGAATATTTGTAAAGCAGTAGCACAGTGCCCGGCACATAGTAGGCACTATATACTTACTCCCTTCCTTCCTGTGGAGTGGGACTCAAGGTCATTCCCTAAGGAGGACCTGTCTGTAGTCCTGTTTGGGATTTCCACATGAAATCATGAACGATGGGGCACAGTGAAGCTTCTGAGGGACATGTACTGCTCAGGGGGCTTCATGGATGAAGTCCAACCACATAGGCTGATGCTCGAACCCTTGCCCTTCGAGTGAGTAGAAAACAAAGAAGACTTAGGTACTTGTTGAATGCTGACCTCAAACAGGGCACCAGCACCTGCCCTGGGGAATCAGGCAGGGACGATCGGCAACTCCAGCAGAGCCACCAAGGCTGGCCGAAGCCGTCCTATGAGTGTTCAATGCCACAAATTATACCCATGCTTCTCCTCTCATAGACAGTTGTAGAAGGAAAGGCAGGCTGGCTCTGGAATCAGAAGACCAGAGCTGGAATCTAATCTCACAATCAGAGATGTAACCTCCCGGGAATTCCTCAACCTTTCCTAACTTTACTTTGCTTATCTGTAAAATGGGATAATAATAGCACCAAATGAGATGACCTAGAGAAAACCCTTTGCAACTTGAAGCTCTGTATAAATGTGGACAAAAAAGGGAAAATGACTTCCACTCTGGGCCTCAGTTTCCCCCTCTGTAAAAAGAAGGGGATTAGACCAGCTGAGCTCTGAAGGCCCTCAGAGCTCTGTAATCCATTCTCGGCTTCCTCAGGGCGAAGGGGTGTTGGTTTGAATTTTCGAAGTGGTTTTCTGACCAAGAATTCCATAAGTTGATCTCAGAAGAAAATGATGTGTGCATTTTTTGATTCTGAGGAAAAGAATGGGAGATATTGGCTGGGGCTGGGTGTCCTGCTGCTATCTCAAACTCAACATGTCCCAGACTGAACTTGTCCCTGGATTAAGGGACTAGGGAGGTCATTTACTCCAACCCTTTCATTTTACAAATGGGGAAACTAAGGCTCAGGGTGAGGAGGTGAGCTGCCCAAAGCCTCCCAGGTACTTAGTGGTAAGATATGAGCTCGAATCAGGGCCTCCTTGTTGATTGTGAGCTCCCTGAGGGTAGGAGCTGTGGATGGTCATCTTGGCATCCCCCGGGCTAAGCGTGGGGCCTGTATACAGCTGGTCCTGCAGAAGATGCCGGGCTCATCCCTGCCCTGGAGAAGCAGGGATGGGGGGGCCTTGCAGAGAGCTGCTCCCCGCACATGTTGTTTCACTAATCGACTGCAGGCGCGACCAGCCTCCAGACAGAGAAGTATTTGAAATAGCGGCCAGATGTTGTGTCTGAATTTTCTTTTACAACTTGCTTACTGTTTAGTGAGGTTCTTCCTGCCAGGGCTCAGCTTGCCC